GAGTATACATCGTGCCTTCTGTCAATTTTGATTAAACATTGAGCAGAATTATCGTGAACCAAATTTCTCTCAGAACTATTAAACATTGAGGAAATATGTCTCTCATCACCAAATTTTTGTCAATTTTTAATCAGAATTATTGTCAATTTTTTTAATAAAAAAAAATTAAGCAGAAATTGGTTTGGTGTTAAAAAAAAAAAAAAGGTTATACACATTGTGTTTACTATCAACTGTGTATAATAGTTGATCTGTCAATTATGCCAATTATTTAAACTATTTAGCAGAAATTATTTGAACTAAATTTCATCAAAGAATTAAAAAAAAACATTATGTGAACCAAATTTCTGGCAATTTTGTTAAACATTAACCAGAATTATTGTGAACCAAATTTCTCTTAGAACTATTAAACATTGAGGAAATGTCTCTCATCACCAAATTTCTGTCAATTTTTAATCAGAATTATTGCCAATTTTTTTAATCAAAAAAAACATTAAGCATAAATTATTTTTTCATCAAAGAATTACTGTCAATTATTTGAACTGTTAAGCAAAAATTTGGTTCTTATACATAAGGTTGGTCTCAAAATTATTTGGCTATTATACACAGGAAAAACATAATAGATCCAAAATTTTCACTAAATCAAGGATGAACAAAAAATTTCACCAAATCTCCAATAATAATACTTTTAATCTTTTTTGATAAAATTTTAAAATAGAGTATGGATAGGAGATGGTTTTCTTTCATAAAAAAATGGTATGGATAGGAGATGGTTTTTAGGATAAGTTTGGAATTTTTTTGAAAAGATTTGAAGATGCGAAGAGAGTAAGGATTGGAGTATTCATATCAGATCAAGCTTTTAATCAAATTTTCACTCAAATTTGATGAACAAAGAGAGAGAGAGAGTAAGTTAAGTAATTTACTAATCATAACCATCATGGTTTGGTTGTCCTGACTACTTTTGTTGTTGTTAGAACTTAAAGCTTGGATTACGATTGGTTGTCCTGACTCCGGTGGGTAAATTGAAGTGTAAAACATTCACTTGATTACGTCGCTATTCATAAAATTGGTCTGTCTTAAATTTTTAAAATTTGGTCAAGATTTGTTTAAATTTGGACAATTTTGCTGCATTATTAGAAAGAAGTCAAGTACTCTCTCTCATACCCTAACCCAAGGACCTTCACAATTTTTTTTTTTTGGTTCTTCTTGGAGGCTTGAGTGCTAGATATAGTAGTAGTGGGTAGTTTTGTAAATTAACTTGATATTGAAAATCATGTGTGCACTGCTACTTGCATTGTGCCCTTAGTGAGGCATAGTCGGGTTGCTTCATCGTAGTTATGTGATGATATCTTTTGATGTAATATGGGCTTCTATTCTCCCTTTTATTTATTTATTCTTTCCAAAATAAAAACTTAGGCTTAGGCGCCCATAGGATTATTTGACAAAAAGGCATTATTCATTTCCATTCAACTTACTAAACCATCAAGCGCATCACTAATTACTGGAATGCTCAGTTGAAGAACTCTACATGCTCAATTTTGTTTTTCAAAAATAGATGCAATCAACCATGATTTAGTCACCCTTTTAATGAAAGAACATTTCATTTAGTAGGTCACACATGTATGCAAGATATAGAGAGAGAGATATCACTACGATATACCTTTACAAAAATTGTACCATTCAAACGTAGTATATTTGTTGGGTGATTCTAGAAAGAAAGGAACTGTTTTTTTTCATTTAATTTTTTTTTAATATCTAGAGTTCCTAATTAAAAGAAAAATTTGAAAGACTTGGCATTTTAACATTTATGTAATAAGGTAATTTCAATCTCAAAGTATTTTGACATGTATATTTCCAATAAATGTACTAATCTATATTTTTTTTGTTTCCACAAATTACCAGATTGTTGTGCATATTCCTCATTGGGGATACATAAAAATTGACACAAAGACTTTTTGGAAAGTAATGAGGAGGAAGTTTGGGCAAACGCATATTTGAAGACATGTTATTAACACATCTTTTGTAAAACATACATATTTTTTGTGTATGACAATATAATTTTTGGTGTATGACATGCTAGTGACACATCTTTTGTAAAGCATACATCTTTTGTAAAGTTTTAACCCATTTTTTGTAAAATTTTAACCTACTCTTTTGGTGTATGACATTATGACTTTATTTCTGTTTTTTGTTCAATGTTTACACTTTTTTTTACTGCCTTTTATATTTTGATATGCAATATAACTTTAAATCTTATATGTTTGTTTCTTAATTTGCATTAAGATTAGGGGGAGTTGTTATTTTATTTCAATTTTGTAGAGCGTATAATACAAGCAAAATTGTTATAAGTTCTTTAAAAAGAAAAATATTTTAATATATTTTTTCAGTATCTTTATAAAAAAATGATACAGACTTTATAAATTTTAACATAATATGTACAAATTATAACTGTATTTTAATCTTAAAATTATTTAAATCGTGTCTTTAGGCACGGATGCTAGTAGATTAATATGTCACAAGTGTTTTATTTTTATATGAATTGGCGATTAACATTGGATTGGAGATAGATTTGAGGGTGAGATATTAATTATAATCTAATCTAGAAGGGCTCTTACGCTAATCTAATCTTTAATAATGACGTTAAATCATAATGATGCTAAATTCTTACTCAACCATTGATTGGCCACAGAGAAGTCACGCCCTCAGGCGAATAGTGGAGAGTACCTTCAACGAGAAGTTATTTGGTGGTTTAAGGTATGATGAGGGGGTGCTGAGGAGTGTTCAGATTGGTGAAGAGAGTAGACTTTAAGGTCTCCGTTTGTTTAGTTTTATAGGATGGAAGAGATTAGAGAATACAGTGGAATTAGGGTTATATTTGTTTAGCGGATTAGGTTGGATAAAATTGTTAATGACGGAATGATTAATGAAAAAATTGTTAATATGAGGATTGTTAGTGAGAGAATTAAGTAAAAATGTGTTTATTTTTTATGATAATGTGAGAGATAGTTAATAATGAATTTGTTAAATTATTTTTATATAAAAATAAAAATAAAATATTTATATATTAAAAAAAATCTAAAATATATATATTTTTTTATTTATACAAATAACAGGTTGCACTTGTGTAAAAATAAAAGCACTGTTTCAGTTGGCTGGCTGGATGATCAGCCGGATGTCCGGATACACTTAATCCCCTCCCTATTTTTCCGGTCCCACCTTCAACCTAGTAAAACTAATTCGGTCACTAAGAAATATTGTTAACACCACTAAGCCTCCATTTGAAAAGTGGGTTGACTTTTTAACTTTTTGATTTTTTTGACTATTTTAGCCTGGGCTAAAAAGTTTGGTTTGGGAAAAGCTTTTTGATTTTTTTGACTTTTTTTTGTTAGAGAAGGGTGTAATGATTATAGATTTGATGTGATATTTTGTTTGTTATGACTAAAATAGCCTATTTTATCTTTTGTGACTAAAATAGTCCCAAACCTCCTTACTAAAAGGAGCCTAAATTGTTAGTCCAGAAGCTCCAAGAGTGCACCAAACAAGCCATCATGGACTCAACAAGCATACTAGTCAAATCCCGCCCTCCAAGCAGCGAAACAAATATGGTCTAAGTGAGATTAGTGTAGTGATATTAGGTTGGAGATATAAAATAAAGAGTGTTTGTTTGTACACCACCGAATTAATAATATTATAGATAGAATTAGTATATAAAATTTTTAATATTATAATTATTATTACTTTTATTTTTTTCAAGTCCACTTAATTTAGAAACACTTCATTTAGAAACACTTAAAAAAAATATAAATTTTGCATAAAAATTATTTAAAAATTTACTAAATATAAAAAAATTCATATTTGTATAGTATTTATTAAAAATTTTAAATATTTCTTTCACAAATAAATTGTTTGAAAAAAAAATATATTAAAAATATTTTAATCCATTTTATTTAATATTTTAATTCATTAATTCTATCACTAGATTTTTAATCCTATAGTTTTGTTTGGGATACACATTTGGACTAAAATAGCCATATAGGATAAAATTGGATTTTTTAACTAAATAGGACAAAATGTCACATCTAATCCATAATCATTTCAATTTTTCTCTTATAAAAGTCAAAAAATCTATTCAAAGTCAAAAAATCAAGGGCAAATCACACATACCTCCCTCGAGGTTTAGTTAAATTACAGATACCCCTGAGATTTCAAAAATTACAAATACTCCCCTGAGATTTATATTTTCATAACAAATTACCCCCTAATTTGTTATGCAAATATAACCTTCAGGGAGTATCTGTAATTTCTCAAACCTCAGGAGGGTATCTGTAATTTTGCTAAACTTCGAAGAGGGTATATGTAATTTGCCCAAAAATCAAAAAGTCAACACATATCTGTTTTTCTTCGCTACTAGTCCAACTAAGAAGAGGGATTGCTAATCCCTTTAGAGAGTTAATTCTATAACAACCTTCAACAACCAAACACTCTCTATATGATCCTCTCTTACTATAGTCCAATCTCTTCACTTATGGAGCCAAACAAACATGATTTAAGTAACATGACATTTTGTAAATTGTAGGTATGCCTGTTTTGGGAACCTGACTAAAAATCAATTTTTGTGGTTTTTTTAATTTTTTTGAGTCATATCATTTCTTTTTTTTTATACATTTTTTAAAAAAAAGTTAAAAAAAATTTAAAAAGTCTGATTTTAACTTATTTTCCAAAACAAGCCTAACTAGGCCTATTTTGACAATTGGATTAAAAGTCAAAAAGTTTTTGGTTTTTTTTTTAAAAGTTACATCACCTTTTTATTTTTTTATATATTTTAAAAAAAAATAAAAAAATCAACTTGTAACTTATTTCCTAAAATCGGCCGTAGTCCCAGTACCACTTAATAATTTTTCTAAATGGAATCTGTTACGGAACTCATCAACTCCGGTACTTCTCTTGCAAATCAATCATTTACCGTCCGATTGTCCCCACACGACCTTATCATCTAGCGGTTCTTATCCAACAAGCAAATTCTCCAAGAACTTCATCTTCCACCTCTCTCTATCTCTCTCTCTCTCTGCGCAAGTCTTCACCACTTCGTGCGGAGTCTTCATCGTCTGTATCGGTACTCGAATCCCTATGGCCGAAGAAGCTCCACCATCACAGACCCAATCGGGTTCGGATCTTGATCCGTTACAGTACTGGTGCTACCACTGCGACAAACGGGTCTCCATCGAAACCCTCCCCGACGTGGTCTGTCACGAGTGCAAGAACGGCTTCGTCGAGTCCATCGCCGCCGCGAACCCCTCCCCTCCGCCGTCCCGAACCTCCGATCTCGTCGACGAACCTTACTTCGGCTCCCAGTTCCTCCAAGTCCTCCGCCTGATCGCGCAGGCTGCGCGTGACGACGACGCTCCTCCTCCGCCGCCTTCGGAGCATGCAGATCCATCGGAGGATGATTATCTCCGGATCGAACTCGACGGCTGGGACAACGACGACGACGATGATGCGAACGAAGTTGAAGTCAGAAACGAAGTAGACGAAGAGGAAGAAGACGATCCCGATCAAGATCGCGATCGAGGATTAGATCGAGGTTTGGATCGATCTGATGGTGAGAGAGACGAAGAAGATATGCGGAGGAGGCGGCGCGATGTGCTTCGGCTTCGGCTCCGTGACTTGGCGGCTCGAGCCGCGAATCGGCGGAACAGGATTCTCGATTGGGCGGAGATCTTGATGGGGCTCGAAGACCACTCGATTGAGCTCCGATTGCAAATGCCGGAGATGGATGACTATGTGGGGAATCCAGAGGACTACGTCGATGCGGCTGGATACGAAGCTTTGCTGCAGAACTTGGCTGAGAGCGATGGCAGTGGAAGAAGAGGAGCACCACAAGCTTCAAAATCAGCCATATTGGCTTTGCAAACACTGAAGATTGAATCACAACAAGAGTCTATGGTGTGTGCTATATGTAAGGATTCAGTGAATGTTGGAGAGATTGCCAAGAAATTGCCTTGCGAGCATGGATACCATGAGGATTGCATTTTGCCATGGCTGGGTTCGAGAAACTCGTGTCCCGTGTGTAGGTTTGAGTTGGAGACAGACGATCTAGAGTATGAAGAGGAGAGAAAGAAGAGAGGTGAGGGCACTGGTCCTTCGAGTTCTCGTGCTTGATTCTATTGCTTCGTCGACTCTCTTGGTGGTATGCATTCAACGTCCGTATTGAATTTTATCTTCTTTTTACTTGAGTCTCCTCCACAACCCCTATTATATGGAAAATAAAAAATAAAAAATCAGTGCTTGTTGTGGATTGGATTTTTATTTTATTTTATTTAATGTACATAATAATTCACAATTTGAAGATGTTCTTTTGCTTTTTAGTGATTTGATGAGTTCAATTGCTAGTTATAATTACCTTCTTTACGATATTACGGATGTTTAAGTTAAGTTGTGACTTTCTTGTCTTTGGCTATATTATTTGGCGTTTTTACTGGGAAAATATATGAGTTATACAACATGTTAAATGCATTTGTAACAAGAAAATAGTGTTACTATATGCTTTTAATTTCATCACTATGCCAATTCCATGACTTAGTTCCTTACATTCATGCTTGGATTTATCAAGGGAAAGGGGAATGAAAGACAAAGTTAGGTTCTTTCACCACATTGTGTTCTTATCTTTTTCCATTTTATTTTCAGTACCCTTTACAAATCCATGATCCAAACCTAGGCTCGAATGTTTAGCTAGTAGAAATTGGTACTTCAATTGGTTCATTAGACTTGGAGCTTTTAATCCTCCTGTAAATGGTTAATGGACTGAGGTGTAGAATAAAGAGGGAATGGTAATGTCATGTGGAAACCATATAGCATTAGGGGATCACATAGTATTTGGTGATCTTTATGTTTATTTTTTCTTTTCTCAACATTATTTGCAACTTCCAAGAGTTAGGTTCTGGTGTTCAGTTCTTAGTGGTATGCAATGCACTCTGTGTGACCTTGGAACTCTTGGTTGTGGTGGATTGTGTGTGTTTGGATATAAACAATAATTTAATCAAATCGAATACCTATTTTGTTTGTGATGCACCTCAGTTTAAAAACCATATGATTAAAGGGTTTTAGTTTTGATTTATTAAATAATGGAAGTTCTATATCCAATTAATTAGAAGCTAATCTATTCAAAAATTGATTTTGAGGTTTCATAGCGGTAATGACTTGTACGTCAATAAAGCATCATCATTTATCATTTGCAGTTGATACATTTTCCCTTGTCTTGAGAGTTGGAAACTTTCATGGCAACGTCCTTCAATGGCATTGCACAGATGGTTCATGTGCTGAAATTATGCAATTTCTCTCCAGAGACAATAGTGTGGATGAGTGAGAGAGGTTAGGGAAACTTGATACGGAAGCCAAGATCTTTTTGGTGGACGTTTGTGATCCAACTAGAGTGATTGTTAATTACGCATATATAATGCTAGCGCATGCCCTTCCTTCCATGCTGACCTGGGGATCTTAAGCACAATCCTATAGTTGTCTTGGGGCATATTCTACATAATTGTTAATTGTAGGTCCATTGTGGCTCCCTGAGCAGTGAATGTCTCCTTTTACCAGTTAGGAGACAGATCATGATGCTTATATGAGGGAGCGATTAACAACACTAGTCTCTGGACTCTTGTAGCAACCACTTTTGCTGCTTATACATTGTTCATAGCATTCTTCTCTATACATTCTAGTCTCATTTGCTTATTGTGCAGTTCATTTATGACTTTCTGCCTCTATTTTGTGATTTTGCTGCCTTTATATTTGCTCGTGTTTGCTTAGAAATTAAAACACCTTAAAATGCATATTATAAGAATTCATCTTTAATTTGTATTCTTCATCATCTGACCCAGGGAAGATAATGGGGTTTGTATTTTGTTAGTAAGGAAAACACATTCCCTACAGCCTGAAAGGCTTTTCTGAGGGAGCTTCTGTTTGGATCACAATTTCAATTCTTTACTATTTTAATTCAACAATGCTAGGTGGCCCATTTTCTCGGCTCGAATGGGTCGAAACACCCAAAACGACGTCGTTTTGACACATTTGAGCCATTCGAATTACATAAATTTGGACCACCAAACATTTTTCTTTTTAATTATTCTTTATTACCATTTTATCCTTGTATGAAATTGATAGTCCCATCCACTATCCACCGTCACCGCCATTGCCATGGCTAGAAGTACAGATAAAATATTATAAGGCGTAAGAGCACCGGTGAAAGAGGTAGACTTGTTCAATTATGAGCACAACAAATTCGTGCCTTCGCAGAAAATGGAAAAATTATATAGAACACAATGGTGTCTCGCTTCATTAGTAGTATGAGAATGCATGAGTAGTTTAATGTTTGGTTGGTTGGGGATTTAAAAAGAAATTTGAAAAGGAAAAAGAACAAAAAAATAGTTAAAATGTAAATGAAATATATTTATATTTTATATAATTTTACATTTTTTATTTTCTTCTTCATATTTCTTCCCAAATTTTCTAACTCAACACAGCATTATAGTATCCATATTGTTTTTAGTTTCGGTGGTGTGATATGTAGGGGTGCAACTCGGGCGGGCTCAATCCGAGCCCAGCCCGAGTTTTTTTAGGGCTTGGGCAACTATATCTTGCAATTTGGACGGGCTTGGGCAAAATTTTGATGTTATATTACATCATCATACATATATTAAAAAAATTTTAAATTATATTTCATCATTAATTAATATATTAATTAATACATATAATATTATTCTTTTAGTTTCATCTTGTATCCTTAATTATTGAGCGGGCCATGTACTAGGACGAAACTATAGATAACTTCTCACTCCGTAGTGTTTGCTGAAGTCTATCTATAATAGCATTAAACCTTTGCCCCTTTTTTCATTTTTTTTTCCTGTTCTTTTTTTACTTATATTTTATTTTGAGAAGTAAGTTAAAAGTTAATTTTTAATTTTTTTTAAATTTTTTAAATTTTTTTATAAAAAAATATAATAAAAAAAATAGAAAAGATATATGACTTAAAAAAGTCAAAAAAAAATTATTTTTAATCATGTTACCAAAACATGCAGCACATCAAGTCGCCATTTGGGATTTTTTGTTTTTGTTTTTTTTGCTTTTTTTAAGAGTTAAAAAAGTTAATATATTTGAAAATTTGTTAAAAAAACCTTCTTTTTTTTTTCCTTTTTTTTCAAGTGAAAAAAATGATGCAATATTTAACTATTTTAACTAATGATAAATAACCTACTGACTTTTTATTTATTTATTTTTTAAATCAAAAACTGTCTTTTTGTGAGATTCGAAGCTACACCTATAAGGTTGCGTAAAATATCGGCTACTCCTTTAAAGGTGTTGTTTGATTTTTGAGTTGGGTTAAAAAATCACAAAAGGATAAAAAGAAATTAAAAAATTAAAAAGACAAAAAAAAATTACCATTTTAAAGTAAAAAAGTCAAAAAAGCCAATAAAGAATATCAAATAACTAAAAAAGTCTCAAGCAAAAAAAGTTAAAAAGTTAACTAAAAAGATCATTGCCAAACAAGCACAAAATAGCACCGAATTGTCTCAATCTGTACCGCTCTATTCGTTAATCGTGATTCGAATTTTAAAATTTATAATCCGATTTTAAAATCGCTCCGCTATAGTTAATACATATATATTTTTTAACTTATAATGAAATATCAAAATAAAAATAAGTGTGAAAGATATTTAATATGTGAAGTTTATTACAAATTGATAATTATATATATTAAAAATATTATATAAAATTAGCGTGTTATATATATATAAAATATTATACAAATTAGTATTATATATATATTATATAAATACTTGATAATTGGTCAGAATATTTTTCAATCCGACAATCCGTCCAAAACCACTAAAATCACAATTTGTCAGCCTGTCAATCTGCCATTCGATTTATAATTTTACTCTTAAACCATTTGAATCACACCGTACACACCCCTACTCCTATATTTGGAATTTAAATTTCTAGTTCACTTTGAGTTGTTTTAGAAAGATAGTTAAAAGTTGATTTTTTAATTTTTGTAAATTTTTTAAAAAAAAATATGTAAAAATATAAAAGATAATATGACCCAAAATAAATTAAAAATTAAAAAATAATTTTTAACCTACTCCTTAAAAGATGCCTTTATTATTTGTTAGTGCTTTGTAACATGTAGTACGAAGTGATGATAATGAAATTTAAATGTACTAATTAGTATATTATTTAGTGTACCAACATTAGTTATGACATTATTATTAATCTCACTCATTAATCATATTACAAATATTAAAAGGGTCCAGCTTGTCTCAAGTTGAGATCAAGACTGGACCCGTCCAGTTCGGCCCATGGGGCCCATTTTTTGGCCTATTTTGATAATCCGAACCGTTTAGTGTGTAGAAATCGTCGAGTACTACATGCCTGTAAAAAATCAGGTTGATCGGATATCAATAGCTATGTGATCAAATCAGTTTTGTATAAAAAAAAAGACGGTAAAACAATTAACGGTTGATAAAAAACTGTTTTGTTCACGTAGCTATCGATATCCGATCAACGTGATTTTTTATAAGCAATTAACACTCGACGAGTTCTATACATTGAACGGTTCAGATTATCAAAACGAGACCCGTGGTGGGCTCCCACGGACCCAACAATACGGTCTAATCTGATCTTAGACTGGACCAAAGCCACTACCATATTAAATTTTTTTTAAATTATATCATATTATCAATATCGCATTATTCAATTTAAATGGATCCACTACTTTACTTGGGGGTCTCAATAATAGACCACTTTCTGGGACCCCTTTAATGCTTATTTGCTTCAGCTTCCATTTATTTTTATTTTTTTGTGTTTTTGTGTTTTTGGGGGGAAAAACTTTCAACCACTTGTTTGGGAAGTCAATTTATGAAGCACATTTTATTATCCGCACAAGTTATTTCAATACTTTATTCAAAGAAGCCTTTTTCTATTATTTTATCAATTATTGAGTTTTCGCTTGATAATAACTTTTTTTAAATAAATAAAAAATAAAATAAATTAATAAAATATTATATTATATTTAAATCATAATCATTTTACTATTTTTTTTCACAGCCAACACATTCAAACCAAAAAAAAAATCAAAATTCTTTCCAAACAAAACTGGCTTAGCCTCCGTTTGGGAAGTGGGTTGGCTTTTTGGCTTTTTTGGCTATATTAGCCTGGGCTTAAAAGCTTGGTTTGGGAAGGGCTTTTTGGCTTTTTTGAGTTTTTTTGTGAGAGAAGAATGTAATGATTATGGGTTGGATGTGATGTTTTGTTTGTTATGGCTAAAATAGCCTATTTTGTTTTTTGTGGCTAAAATAGCCAAAAAAACCCAAGAACCAACTTGCCAAACAGAGGCTTAACCAAGTTAATTAGCCTAAAAACCAAACTAAATTATCTCTTCTCAAATGAAACCTAATTATAAATTGATTTTCCCTCCCTCTTATTTTAAATAAGCAGAACAATTATAAAATGACAACTCATTTGTTTGTCTGTCAAAATTTGTTTATTTTTTACATCAAATAAGTTTTAATTGAGATGATAACTAACCAAGTTTGAGTAACTTGAGTGTCTACAATATAAAAATTTCCTTCTAGCCACATAATAAATTGTTCAAATTTAATAAATTTTAAAATGAATTTGAGATTAAGCTTTTTTTACACCACTATTTGATTTCGAGCATGTTACAAGAGTAAAACACGAGGAATTCGTTTTAGAGCCCTAGGGGGGCAAAGATAAGAAAAATATCAATATATGTATATATATATAAAGAAATCAACTAAACACATTCTTTTCCAAAAAAAAAACCTATCATATCCTTTTTCTTATATATACATACAGTACCACTTGTAAAAGCCAAAGAAGTAAGAAACTATCCAGCAGCAGTAACAGGATGAAAGGAGGAACCTCTTTCATCCAAACATACTACTTTGACCCAAAACATCACGCGCCCATGGTTCAATGTGAAGTGAAATGTAGTTGTCAAGTTACTCTCAGGTCTCATTTGGCAAGAGGCTATTTTAATTAATTAGTCAAAAAGTTACTAAATTAACCAAAAAGTCAACAACCCATACCAAAAAGTCAAAGATTATCTTTTCTCTCTACTTTTTACACATCTTTTCGTAATTAGCCAAAAAGTCATTCCAAACATACAAGTTTTTTTTATTTACTTTTTTAACCAAATAACCAAAAAATTACTAAATTATCATGTTCCCAAACGAGGCCTCAAATGACTCATAATGTCCTTGTCCTTGTATTAAAAGCAAAATATTTTGAACATTGACTTTGTGAAACTCATATGTAGGGACGTGCGTGCTATGGATTTGTGCGATTTACGAGTAAAATAAAAATTGCACGGTAAGTGATAAATTGACAAAATTAATATTAAAAATTATCGTTTTATTTATCGTTGGTAAATAATGGCAATTTTGACTTGGTTAAATAAAATCGACAATTTTGTTGGTAAATAATTGCGATTTTGACTTGGCATTTCGGACTGATTGACAGTTTATAATAAACAAATATAAATAAAAACTCAAATGCTCAATATTTCAGCCAAAACATTTTTTGCCTACATGGTTAAGATTTCTCAAACATTTTTTTATACTCAAACAATAGCTAACAGATTAGATTTTTCTTATTGAGCAACAGTAGACTCAAGCAATAGCAAACAAATTAAATCTATTTCTCAGATTTACAAGTAAACTGAAGCAGCATACACACACACACACACACACACACACACATATATATATATAGAGAGAGAGAGAGAGTACAGAGAATCTGTAAACAAAAACTCAACAATCCATTCATCCAATATAAAAGAAACTGCGATTCAATCATTTAATTGAACTAGGGGAACTATGAAAATGGCCAATCTCAAAAAGAACAACCCATCAAGAAACAAAATCTACACATAAACAAATAAGCTTTAAGAAGATAGAATAATGACTTAAATAGGAACAAGGAGTACTTACAATTTCTTCCCTTCAAACATGGTATCATGGCTTGCAAGAAAGTATAATTCCAAATTGCAGAAAACTCTATGCAAGCCAGCACTGGTAACAGAAGAGTCAAGGTTCTTGACGGAAATGCTAACAGTGGCGTCTAGCAAGGCTAGCGGTAGCGCCAATCGGAGGAGAAAGAGAAGAGACAAAAAAACCATAGATATGTGAAGAGGCAAGGTGAACAGTGACACTCTACCAAAGCAATTTCATGAGCTTATATATACATAGGTGGTGCAGGTCAGTTTGGTCGGCGGGCTAGAGTTTTGAAACCACAACCCGCGCGGTTGGGCCCCCCACCTGCCCAACCCGCTGGCCAAAACTGAAAAAATGGGCGGTTTGGCATGATTGTGGCAGGTATTGTTCACAGCCTACTCATATGCTTGTGAATATTCCATGGTTGAATCTACGTCATTAACATTTTCCAAGTCATTCTAAAAAAATGGGAGAAGAAATATATATATATATATATAATTATGCTAAAAAAATGGAGCACTTACCAACTAGCTTTATTAACTAGACTTATTTACCTACAGGTTCTATTAATAAATTTATCACTGTGAATTTATTCATAAAAATAAGAGAGACTGACAAATTTATAAATTTATCAATAGGATTTAATGGGTGATAAATCCCAAAAGTATGACCTATTGGTAATTTACCCTAAAAAAATTTGGTAAGATTTTGGCAACTACATTACCAAAGTTTCCAATACTAGAATGTCTTGGTGTGTGAGAGAGGAAAAAACAAAAACAAAAATAAAAATAAAGAATGTATAGTGCTTAAAATCTATGCAAATTCTAATTTTCTTAAAGAGTAAAATACAGTATTTCTTTTCCTGCACAAGAAGGGCTGTTTGATATTTCAAACCAAGTAATCTCCTAAATCCACGTAACTATCCTATTCTACATATACCAAATAATTATGGAACTAAAATTAACTTCAAGAGGGAGTGAATATCGAAACATTTAATCATTGCTAAAATATGAAATTGACATTTTCAAGCTGGAACCCTTTGATGAAATTGACAGAGGCATCATCTTAAAAAGTATGCAAACTATGATGACAAACATAGTATTAATAAAGACAACAAAGCAAAAGCAGTTCTTGTATACAATTGATGGTAAACTGAGTTTCACCAGGATTTAGCCAATTCCGGATTGCTAAAGAAGAACCCAGAGCTTGAAAAACAGCTAATATTTTGACATCAGCAGCAATGGCAACATGGAACATATTAATCATGCAATCTTTCTATATATGGAATACCTACACAATATACTCATAGAGGAAGAATGTAAAAGAGTACCAGCCGTCAACATCAATTAAGCAATCTTTGACATCACTACCTATATGATGAATCTTACATGAATAACGTAAAGGAGTGACAGTCGGTCCTCAATTTTTATACGAATTTATTATGCAATCTTCTATATCAAGACCAATACCACACAAACACACAGAGGAAGAAGGTTAAAAAAAAGATTATTTCTCTAAATTTCTTTGATATATATAGGACCGAGATTACAGAGCTACATGTAACAAGCTTTCTTTCTATGGTAACAATGGCCTGCTATGAAACATAGAAAAAGCAAAATAAGAAAATAAACCATTTTGAAAACAATAAAACCTAAATTCCTTTCTTCTTTGGCAAATTAATCTCATGAATCATATTACAGCCACAATTCCGCATTTTTATTCAGTTCCACGAAACTTCCCCAACCCACCAATTTCAATAAGCTTACATTCTGTGGATCACCTATGGTTATGAAAACATTGGTCTTTTCTGTTTTGTTCCTAAACTGATCCACAGAGAGGGAACTTTGATAAACACTCTATTTCCATGGTGGTTGATGATGATGTTTATAGTTAAATGGGTATGATTCCCGCCCACCATCAGGTTCCTTTCGTTTTCCAAGACCACCAGAACCCAAGGAGGGTTGTGAGTTGTTCCTTAAGTGCTCATCAATTGACCTGCTCTGACCAGAGTTAAAAAACTGCCTCAAACCCACGGATTCCCTGTTTCCCCCCTCGGTCATGTACCCAGAATTCAGATCAAAACTAGGCCGTGATGGCCCAGCACCGTTTGAAACTTGAGGTGTCCCAATCATACTCATAATATATGGTGGTTGAGAGTAGGCAGCTGGAGAAGCTGATGCAGAGCCCATGATTTGAGGTACAACCGGGGCTCCTCTAGAATCCACCATGTAAGGGATTGGGCCAGCAGGTCCATACATAGACGGCGAGAAAGTGATTGTAGGCCCTGTTGTAAGGCCATTGTACCCAAAAATAGCATGATGTGCATATGGAACTACAGATCTCATCCCAAAAGCACTCCCACTTCTTGACAAATTAACATCTAGGGCAGGATCTAAAGTCCTGCCATTTGGCAAGGAAGGAGTTTGAGGACCAAAATCTTTTTGATTGACCTCCACTCGGGTACCCATGATAGAAATCACGGAATCATCTAATTTGAGTCCACCAGAAGCATTTAAAATTTGTGAAGATGACTTACCAAGATACGGATGTAGTAGATCTGAAGAATCATTGTGAAAAGATGGCTGGTCATTCAAATCAAAGTTCCTCAAGGCAGGCTGCATTGATGATGATGAAGAAGAAGGAGATGGGCTGTGATGGCCATTCCTATGCTGTAAAAATTGTCCTTCCATCCTCCAATCAGATGGAGCATCACCATCATCACTGATACGATTAAGATCCAACTTGAATCTCTCTGATCTTCTTGGACTGGCTTCAATTGAAGATTCCCCAGAAGGAAGGCCAGACCATACCGGGATTTGCTTTTCTGGTATTAGGTCTGCAATTTTATCATCTCCGGCCTCAACCACATTCAGATCAAAATCAAGGTAGTCCTGGCGCTGCTTTGAACTGATAAGGCTCCCCCCAATGGAAAGAGTCTTGTCACCTTCAAGAATTCTGCGAGATGATGCTGGGCGAAAAGCACTAGTCGCAGCGGACCCTTTCCATCCATGAGCGCCCTCAAACTGCAAAGGAGATGCAGGAAACCCAGGATTCGCTGCAGCCCTTGAAGCGGAAACCACAGAGATGGGAGTAGAGATCGGATTTCCTGAGTAATCCATATCCTCGGAGCAAACTTCTTGATTCAGATCAAAATCACCAAGGCCTTTCTCTGTGTTAACTTCTGGTTCTTGCGCCGCCTGAGTGACCTGAGAGGACTCTATATCTTGTATGCAATTTTCTGCTTCAACATCTAGGGTTTTTGCACTACTTAAATGCTCTTCCCTTTGTGGTGAAGTCTTGGCAGACAGATTGGGTCCAGTTGGCACCTCTTTAGATGCAGCCTCATTGGGTTGGATTTCCTTACCATATATAGACTCCGGGCTATCCAGATGCCCAATTCCACCATCAAAGATTTTCTCAGAAGAGCTGCAACTTGGCTCTCTGCAATCTACGACTTCTCTCTCAACTTCTATGGCTACTTGTCGAGCAACCTCCAGAGCATCCACCATGCTATAGTCAAGGTCTAAATCAGGCCTTCTCTGGTCAACCACGTCAGGATCTTTGGCATCCATAGCAGGTTTCAAAAAATTAGAATCATTTGCCAGATCGTCACTTTCATCACTAGAATGCTCTTGAGCCCCACTATCTTCTGTAGAGAAAGAAGTATCCGGATCCTCCACTTTACCCAATTTACCCTCATTGCCAGAAGAGTCCAATGAAAGATTAGTATTCGAATCATGACCTTGATTTTGGAACACCACCATGCTTCTGCAATGATGTGGAGACCCAGTATCATCCATCCTGCTTTTCCCCTCGGGCATATCTGTCCCTGTGCCATCGATAAGTGTATCTTTTGACTGAACTTTTTCTTTGGTATCACTAATGTTTCGTAACTCGGGTTCTGTGGCAGATTCCTGAGCATTTGCAGCATCATCACCACCCAAAAGAAACCTGGGTTCCACCTGACTAGAAACAGTAGACATTTCCACTGCACCTAATTTGTTGGGGGGACTTGTGACCACCTCTATCTGCTTTGCCTTATCAGTATACTCATTCAACTCTGGAACATCTGACTTTCCTTCAATGCCTTGTTTCGGCGCCACAGAAGTACAAGTTTCAATTGAGGCAGCTCCTTCTGAATGGCATAGTGGGGATTCTTCCGTGATAGAAAGGTTTTCTTTAATGGGCTTTAACATGACTGAGCCCACAAGATCTGATGAACACTCATCTTTCATGACTTCATGGTCTAAAGTCTTCTCCTTGTCAGATATTTGGGTCTCTACTACATCATCAACCTTTTCCGGTTGAAGAATATCTGAGCATATAGATGGCATCATATCATCTCTCGCTGGTTCTACATGTTTTTCTTGATTAGCACCCTCTCCAGAAAGAGGAACATCCCCGACAGAACATTCTGTAGATCCACCTTCTCCAGCAAGGTCTGCATTTCCTTTTATCCCATCAGTATGGGATGCCCCAACCTTCTCAACATCTTGGTTAACTGCTCCGCCATCACCATCTTGCTTCCAGCTATCGAACAGAGCTCTAGCCCTATCCTGGACCCTAGAACTACTGTGGCCAAGGAGATTCTTGACTGTCATCCAGATACCATAAGACATTGACTTCTCATAACCTATACACAGCTTTTCGAGTGCACGTAATAATGCAGTGATCGACTCTTCCACAAAGCTCTCACTTGTGTCATTACCAAACTTTTGAGCATCCTTAAGCCACCTGTCAATAAACCACAGCCCATCTAACTGAACAAAAAGATCAAGACAGTCTTTGTCCTCGGTGGCTTCTAAAGTGCTTGCAAAAGTAGACCACTGCCTGGTTGCATCACCAACATTCTTCACAATACAATCTTTCTCCTTCTGCATTACATTGACCAGTTCCCTAACCCGAGCAGGAGCCGTGAGCCCATCTTTCATCTCAGTAAGGGTAAAGAAGTCCTCCAGCGTCATAACGCTTCACATGTCACTTGAGATTCCCAATGTCAAAGGCATCCTTGTAACTTGCTAACACATGATCCTTCATTGTAACAAACTGGAGTTTCAGGACAAAATCACACCAGATCCTGCAAAGTATTGCATCATAGAATGGGTAATCATATACTACTAAGAAAGGTATCTACAGCAGGCCAAAAGACATATTATGGGTTCGTTTGAGATATGGGTTGGCTTTTTGGCTTTTTGGCCATTTTAGCCTAGGGCTAAAAAGCCTCATTTGGGATAAACTCTTTGGCTTTTTTGACTTTTGTGAGAGAAAAAATGAAATGATTATGGTTTAAATGTGACATTTTGTCTTATTAGGCTAAAAAGCCTATTTTGTCTTTTTGTTTGAGACAAAAAGTCCCATTTTAGCTTATGCCAAACAAAGGTGTAATAAACTATTTTTCACTTTGAAGGGGGTGAAAAATGGTTCACAAAATTGCCCAATAACATTAAATCGACCAAATGCCATAGTGGATGTAAACTTTATTAGCAAATGGTCATATGAATAATTCAGGGAAGCTGCAAATCTTAAAGACTTTGATTATAGTTGCATTTAAGTGCTAAGATATAGAAGAACATTGATTGCATTTTTTTTTAAAACAAAACATCAAAAGCATCTACTTACTACTTAGGAAAAAGTAGCTGCATTTTTATTTTCACCCTTCTATTCCTAGTTTGCTAAAATCTCTACATAGAATAGGTCACTTAACTTTATCCAACATCTACATTGTTCAATTTCTACATAATTAACTAAGCAAAAGAAAAGTTGCAGAGCAGCCTAGTTTCAATTAATATCCCTCTCACACCCGAGAGAGAGAGAGAGAGAGAGAGAACATAAAAAAGAGTGAATAGTAATATTGTGAACAAGTCCAAGATGTAATAAAACCGAACCAAAAAAAAAACAAGGGAAAGGGTAAAAGTGAAAAGTGTTATCATCCATCTACACAAAGATAGGGACTATTGCTTCATCCTAATGACCTACATGACAATGACTACTCAGGTGTTAGTACCATAGGCATAATCCTTACCATGAGACCACATTTAGGTTTTAAACTAATACTAAGAAACACTAGGATAGTGGATTCTTGCCACAAGCTTCCCAGTGTGAGATTTTGCCTGTTCTCATTGCTGAAATTTTGTGTTTGCATCCTTTTAGAGCAGTTCAATACTGAATTGCTCACTTCAGTGTTTTTACCATATTGTAATACTGAATTGCTCACTTCACTGAGGAAATATGGGCTTTGGGGACTGTTAAAGAGCTGTTACTAAGCTCTAAACAGTAACTTGGGAACAGTGACTTCGTTGTTTGGTTTGTTTTAGTGTGCTACATTACAAGGGAAACCGGCATAGGCTTGTAGAGTAAGGTTTGTTAGTACGAAGATTGTGTTGAAACAGATATGGTACTTCACTTTAAGAAGATTGAGAATTCTAGGCAACATACGTAGGGTTAGGTTAGAGAGCTTCAATAAATTCAAGTATATATATATCTAAAGCATGTTCTCCATTTGAATCAAAAAAGTTCTAGTTTTATACACATTAGAACAACTCAAAATCCCAAAAGAATTATGCCTCCACAATTTGGAAACTAAAAGAATTTTTGTAAAACCTATTTGGAGAAGCAATTTAATTAAAATGTATTAAAACCCATGAGTGACCTTTGCACACTATGTCCAAAATATTTTGAAATCACCAAAATACTCTTGCCTTATGAGTTATGAAACATAAGAAAACTTTTAGAAAACTGACAAAACTAAAACCTAATCTATTAAATCATAGAAGAAGTCTCTAATAAGGCTAAACACTCAATTATAAATAGTTCCAATCAAGCCTGATATCCAATTTTTGCCATTTCTTTGAATTCACTTTTTCTTGCTCCTTTTGTGGACTGCATCACTCATTTTGAAGAAATCCCTTTGGCCACATTTGTTTGGTAGATTAGGTTGAATGGGATTATGAGTATAGTAGGATTGAATGAGGAGATTAGTAATGTGGTGGTATTAAATTGGAAATGTAGGATAAAGTGTGTTTGTGTAGTAGTATGGTGATATTAATTAATTGGGATTAAACCTATGAAATTCCATAATTACCCTCCTTTCATTATTGTAGTCATCATATAGGCTAAGGGGTAAAATAGTCTTTTACTCATTAATCCCATGGGATTGCATCTCAATCCCATGTGCTTCCAAGCTTTGCTAGTCCCCCCATAGTGTAGGATTACTACTCCAAGAGGAATACTAATCCCCCCACACATTTCCTAACCAAACATGGCATGAGTGGCGCCCACCTTAGTCATACTCCGATCACCCTCCCCAAACCTCCAAACAAACATGACCTTCCCTCTTTCCTCTTCTCTCCCTATCAAGTGGGGTCGACTACCTGAGCTAAAACAGATGTGCAGATGAAACTCCCAAAACAGAGCAGATGTTACAAGGTGTTTCAAGTTTACAAAACAACTAAAAATTAGAAGCATAAAACAGAATACACAAAGATTCATATAGGCACCATTAGACATTATTATGCTAATTACTTTAAGCCAAATATAAGCAAAGATGTGCATAGAAAACTTAACAAATTTGCAATGACAGTCAAATGTTCGCAAACAGGCTGCTAGAATCCACATGATAGAAGAAGACAACCGCAGCTACTTAGGTATTTGGAAAATATGAGGATTCTAATATATATGGATCAACATGTTAATTGTTTGATATACTCTATCATGAAGAAAGGTGCTGCAAAGAGTTTAAAGGTTCTACCGGACACATATTATGACACAAAAACCAATAAAAGAAACAGAAATTGAGGACCTAGGGCTACATGAAAGTAGATAGAGCCAATGCATTATAGTTAACTGCTACATCAAATGAGACAAAACAGCAAACAAGGATGTATGCAGACAGCCACTAGAAAAAGAAATAAGAGGAATTCATGCAAAATCAAAAGGTCCAAAACAACCAAGACACTCCAGATCACACAAATAGCTAAAAAAAAATACTCTTTCAACTTGACTGCTTAACATTTCACAAGATTTACAATTTGAAGTACACAATCACCAGATCAGTGTAAATGCATGATCTGCCAAAAAAAATTGAACGTCAATCCTCGTATGTTATGCATACTAGTTTAGGATTAAAAATGCAATATCATAATAGAATATCATTCAAACACTCCAATTATGCAAATAAAGGAGTTACTGATTTTCATAAAGATAAAGTTGATAAAAACAAAAGCCGACAACAGCACATTTGGCACGTTTAAAAAAGATAATTCCAAAAAAGTTGTTAAACAGCTGTTAAATTACCCGTTGGTCAGTGCTCCGTTGATCAAAATCTGTAAACAGAAGTTGGAATTTCCAATCACAACCACCAAATAAATTGGATGTCAGTCCTGAAAAGTCGAGCAGAACAAGGACGTATTAAACAGATGAACACAAAACAGTAAAGCCAAACCCTAAAGAAGAAATATTCAATGAATAAAACTATGTATAAAAAATAATAAAAATAATACGCTGATTCACAAAACAACTCACACAAAATCAGCATAAACAAAGGACTTGATCTAATTAATAGTTACCCATGTAGCAAATAGTAAATTCAAACCCCTAAGAAAAGAAAACGTAATTAAATACCACAAGGGCAGCTGAAAGCACACCAACTCACAAGAAGACTCCAGAACAATCATGAAACCCATACAAGTGAAAGAAAAACGATTACCATTCACATAGAAAATTCAAACCCTAGAATTGAATTTCAACCCTAGAAAAGAGCAAATATCAAATGTAAACCCTAAAAAATGAGAATTTGTCAAGCATACCATATACATAAAGAGGAAAAGACAAATTCGAAAGATACAATTAAGATTACACTAATTAATGCAGCAAGATAACCAATTAAAAATAGCAAAACTCCATTAAAACACAATCAAGCAAGTAAAATTTGAACAATTAAGAGTAAATAACACTAACCAAACTTGCACTCTTACCTTCTCAGAAGATGGAACACAGAAACCCTAGAGCCTGTTTTAGTACCAGCAGCTCCTTACCATGGGCGGCGAACCCCTCTTTCTCTTTCTCTCTCTCTCTCTCTCGCTATATATATCTCTCTTCAAGTCTGAACCATAATAACTTCGTCTTCGCTTCCTTTCTCTGTCTTACAGCGGATTTACTTTATCTCTGTCTTCAAAAAACCCTCACTTTGTCCTCTGTTTGGCATTTTTCGAACCAGAGAGAGGAGAGGCGTTTCTTCTCCAGCACCGTTTTTTTTTTTTTTCTTTTTTTTTTTTTTTTTTAATTTTATCATTCCTTCTAGACACTGATCATTCCCAAATGCATTTGCAGGCACCCCCATGATACACCAAGGGTCTGCTGGAGCTATTAGCCTCATTCGAGGCTATGATATTGAGGAGGGAGGCACCGCTCGGCTTCCACAGCATTCAGGTAGTTTCTTCAGTTTTCTTACATTCCAGTTATCAAATTTCTGCTAACACACGAAACTGACACTTCAACTAAACACTTCCCATACTACACCGATACACTGCATCTAACATACTGCACTTCCATACCACACATACATTGTATTTAGCTCCTGTATACACTCATTCTGCACGTCATCTGATACAAATACTGTGGCTGACATATGACAACCACCTTTTCAGGTCCCACCCATACCTACAGCACCAGCGGCGGTTGCAGCAGGACCATAAGTGCCGCCTCTAGCGGTAGGGAGGAGAGAGAGACATGCTCCGGCACGCAGCTGAGGCAGAGCCAGGGACACTAGATATGAGAGTGGCCCTTCCAAGCCTATTCTAAGTGATAACGGGGCTGAGAGCAGCGAGGTCGAGTAGGCAACGAGTCAGCATGCTGAGTCAATCGAGAGCGGAGATGATGACGCTGGCTCAAGTTCTGCTAGCGGAGATGATGCTGCGTTAGGCTCCAAGGCAGATGGCAGCAACGATCTTGATTCTGGTTCAGAGAGAGGTGCAGACAGCGGCGCTGACAGAGACAGCTTTGAGGCTTTGCCCAGGAAGAGGACGAAGAGGGCCTCTCGAGGCTAAGATAGCTGGAGCTGACTTTCTATATTTTTGCTTAGTTTCTTTTTGCTAGTAGTGTTACTTTTGCTAATATATTTTTTTAATAATTTTTAAATTTTTTATAAAAATATTTCAGTAAATTCGTATTTCTTTTTTCCAAGTTTCTGTTTGTCCGATCGATCTGCGAGCACAACGGCGGTGAGCTACCCGACGGTGTGTGGCCGGAAAACTCCTTCGACGGTCAAGTTAGATGCACATAGGGATAGAGAGAGAGAGAGGATCAAGTGTTTTGTGTAAATTTTACCAAATGTTCATCTGTCTCAGCATGGGGGGCGTAGACATGCTTATATACGTTCTGCGCCCCAAATCTACTCTCATTGGTCTCTCGACACGTGGTGCTACTATCCCATCTGTCAGCACAAATCTAGCTGAACATCACCTACCTCAACTGCCAGCCCACTCTACTAGGAGCTTGGCAGCCGGGATGTAGCATCTCGGCTTGCCATGCTGCACTTCACACCCGAATGCTCTAACAACCGAGCTCCGTAAAAGCCGAGCTCAGGTGCACTTCGACAAAGCCGAGCTTGAAGTAGGGCATGCCGGTTAACCAAAGGCCTTAATGCCGAGCCACGGGTGTGCGCCCTCCAATCGAGCAACACACGAACCGTGGAACCCTGTGAGGTTGCGGACATCTCAGCCGAACCCTCACTTGACCGACTTTCGTACCAACAAGTCTGAGTAGCTCGGTTCCACACGCCCTTTGCCATTACCGAGCAAAAAACCCTTCTGGGTAGGCCCAGGCTACCACGGCCCAAGTGTGTTCGACCCACCATTTGTCCGGCATCACCACGGCCCAATCCAGATCATAAATCTCCCTCTCAATTGCCCCTTAATTCCGTTCGCGCAAGCGTGACCTGGATTACCTATTCTGACCGGGGTAACATTTCCTCGGTTCTCAGTTTGCAAGACGGTGACCTGATTAGCTGACATACCTGTCTTCAAAACTTGCCCGGTCGACGCCTCGATTCACCATCCTGTCTCTTCTGTACTGACGCCGCCGTCAATAGGGACACGTGTCGTGCGTTGATTGGCCTCGAGCAACCAACCCTGACGTCCCCTCATATTCAAAATTTTTGGCGGTTCCTTGGGCCTATATATATGCCCAGTCTGTCTTCATTTCGTTCTTACTGACTCTCTTCCATTCTAAGCGTCTTGGAGCTGCAGTGCCCTCGCCAAGCCTCCATTCTCGCCCTTCTTCTATGTTTGTGCTTGAAGGAACTGCATCTGCCTCCACTCTGGTAAGTCCTTCGAGCTCTTTGTTGCTATTTCATTTGTTATTCCACGCTTTAGGGCACATAATCCATAGATTTTAGGGTATAGGCCCCCAAAACCCTCCCATGCCCCTTTCACTTGTTGTTGTTCTTCATCCTCCCTGATGAACACCTGAAGATCTGGGGTGAACCGGGCTCCAGGTCTTCTTTTGATCCCAAAAAAATTGAGACCGAGCAACTTACAAGTTTTCCCAAAACCTTAGTAGAAATCGGGGTAAACAGAGAACTTGGTCGCTTAACCGAGATAACATCTGGTCCGCTTGAGCGACCGAGCTCCTTGCGACCGGGGTGGTCTGGCACTCTTCATGACCAAGCTAAAATCAAGCTCGTTTGCGCGACCGCGCTTCCACTTACAATTACCTTCCTTTTCTTGCAGAGTCCAAGGGGACCACAGACCAGTACTGAGGCTCTCAAAGACCGAGCAGCCATTAAACACCAGTCTTTGTCAAACCACCTCAGCCGAGCTAAATCAGCCAACTACACATGGGGCGCTTCCGCTTCCTTGTTGATACTCCGACTGCCCTGGCCGTATTCCGGGAAGAGTATGGTATCCCGACCGACGTCCACCTAGAGCTCGGCGAGATTGAGACAACCTCTTGGGACAGATTAGACCAGTGCCCTTTTACCGTGCTATCCATCATCGAAGGAGGCCTCCGCTTCCTGGTCAACCTACTACTGACCGAATTCTTGCGCCGCACTGGGCTAGCACCCACTCAAGTATCAACCAACACTTACTGAATAATCAACGGGATCCACAAGTTGAACAACCGGCTAGGAACCAACTTAGGTTTAGCCGAGATATTCCGTCAATACACCCTTGGGCACACGGGCGACGGCTTCGCCTATTACTTAAAAATTCAACCGGGCAAAGAAAAAATAGTGACCGGCACCCCAGACAAGGACTTACACGATGACGACTTTTTCTGGGTATTTGGTAACTATGAAACAGCCGACGTACCGGGCTGGTTCATTAGCAAGAACTTCGGCGAGACATATAAGCCGCGCTAACTGCTGGGTCAACTTATCTTTACTATTCTGTACTTGACACTTTTCTTCTTTCTTTTGCAGCAATCCAAGCCTTGCAAGCCAACTACCACTATCCCAACGAAGCAGCCATCAAGACTGTGCTCCGTTACCGTAACCGGGATTGTAACGAGCTCCTCGGCTACACTCCAACATACTGGTACTCAGCTCCACGCCGGAGTAAGGTCACAGATTTTCTCCGTGCTCCATCACCTCCTCCAGATCCCATACTCCCAGACATCCCTTTCATCCGTTTAAACGAGGCAGAGGAAATGGCAAAGAGAAGCCGTATTAAGAACCTACTCACAGCTACTTCCACCGAGATCCCGAGCATCCAAACCCGCTCACCTGCTGCCGATCAATCCAGTGGGATCGTGGTTGCCTTGGCTTCTCTCGCTGCCGGTCAAGCCAGCAGAGTCACACGCCGGGCTGGCAAAAGGCCTTGTGCAGACCCTTCTGCCGAGCTAGTGACCGAGCTCAACACCGAGCAACCTGCTGTCACCGTCGACCCAACACCGGCATGGAGGCCCCAACTCAGACACCAGGGCAAAGATATCCCGACAACAGCTTCAATCAAAGGCGACAAAGAGCATCTGCTTGCTTTTGACCTCTCTAAGGCCCTTCTCCTACCGAGCGACGTGGTGGACAGCGACCACATGCCTAACACCCGGTTGGTGAAGTCAGCGGTCAAGTCCATGACTAGGGTAAGAATCTCAAACTTCTAAATCAAATCTTGTACTCAAATTCTCACAAGTGTTTGCAGAGTTTCCTCTCTGATCAAGCTTTCTTCTTGCAGGCCATCCAGAAGCAACACTTGGTCATGGAGCGAATTCACCGACTGCGGCAGAAGGCCAATGACTCTGCCAGTCAGGTTACCAACCTCCAAACCGAGCTTGGACGGGCCAAGTCTTCTTTGCAAATCGCAAATGCGGACAACGACAAATTGCTCAGCCAGCTTGGTGCCGCCGAGCAGGAAAGAGATGCAATAAAGGCCGAGCTGGAGGCATTGAAACAGTCAAGGGAGAAGGATCTGGAGGAAGCCAATAATGCCGGCTTCAAAGAGGCCGAGGAGAGCTACATAAAGCAGGTTCATGCCACCCAAGATATCTACTTCAAGGCGGGTTGGAAGATTGTTTGTGAACAGCTCGGCCAAGGAGTTGGGACCGACATATTTGCCTCTCCTCCAACTATCTTCTTGCCGACTTACCTTGTGCCATACGCCAACGATATCTTCGCTGCATTATAGGCTAGGCCGAGGAAAAAGGAGAAAAAGAAGCCGAGGGTAATGCTTAACAAGAGAACCATCCAGAGCAACCCGGCGCCCAAGATGAAATAGCAACAATCAACCTAGAGGCAACCGATGACAAATTCCCTGACCTTTCCCCCTAGCTTAGGTTTCTTTCTGTCTTCTTTTTTTTGGCTTGCACATGTAACTGGGCTATCCACCCCTCCTCTTGTACTTGCTTTTCACATCAATGAAAAAACTCAATTTCCTTCAAGTGTTTGCACAGTTTACAAGCGAAATACGTTTAACCAAACTAAATACCTCGGCAAGACTAACCAGCTCGAGTAACTGGAATAAAACATCACGGTTAAAGTCTTATGAAGTTGAATAAATCATCAACTCCTTCTACTGGAATAAAGCATCTCGGTTTTAAACTAAAAGTTGAGCAAATCATCAACGCATTCAACTAGAATAAATATCTCGGTTGAGAATCTCAGAGTTGAGCAAAACATCAACTCATTAAACCGGAGTAAACATCTCGATTTTAAACTAAAAGTTGAGCAAATCATCAACACATTCAACCGGAATAAACATCTCGGTTGAGAATCTCAGAGTTGAGCAAAACATCAACTCATTCAACCGGAGTAAACATCTCGGTTGAGAATCTCAGAGTTGAGCAA